ATTCATTCCTATCAGGCTTTTTCAATTCCCTTTTTGCATGGCAATGTTATTGCAATTAGGTGTATATTTCAGTGGCTTTTATATGCATTTCTGTTGTTTACGAAAGCGAGATGCGATGGCAACTTTGGAGTTAGGGTATTTCATGATTTCAGGCTCAGAAAATTTATGTTAGTTCCAAGGCCGGTTGGTTATTGCTCTCATTTTCCAATCGTGTGAGCAATTATTGTACGACACTGAGGAAATTCATTACCATAATTTATAGAAAAAAATTACTTGTGCTCTTGAGCTTCAACCAGAAATGGGCTGCTGGCTCTAACTGTGGAAGGAAAATAAGAGCGATTTCCCAGTATTCTAATCGAGAAATCACTGTTCAACTCACTAAATGCATGTGTGTGTCCAGGCTTCGCTTCACAGAATCCACTTCAAGCAATTCACATAAATTCCTTTCCTGAATTAGAAATATCTGTTATAAGATTCAGATGTAAATACTATGCTCTTTCTTGCCTGGTCTTTGTACGGCGTCTTCCCAGAAATTCTCGGTCAATGCATTTCGGTGACGTAAAACTCGCTCGGACCACGTGACCAGAAACGCATGGGCTGCACTGAATAATGAGGCCTACGAACTAGGCAGTGGTCTTTCCACCTATGGCCGTTTAGCTTTAAAGTAAGGTAGATTACCTCTGCACACCTAAACACAAAATTACTTTAATTTGTAATCTATCAAGCTGACTATTTTTTCTTCACGTCCAAGCAAAAAAGTTTTCCTTTTCACTAAGTGGTAGTCCCATTCAGTCATGTACTATTAGTAAACAATAGTCTAATAGGAAAAGCTACCCATCCTTACCCTAACCCATCATTTTGCCCAAAGTCATGGAGACGTTAGTGTTAACCTTTCGTTAGGGGAGGGTTAAGTAGGTGGCATTGGCCCAGAAACGTAAGCTGATCCTCAAATCTTTAAGGCGGCAGAACACTTTTTAACCTTGAAGTCGGCAACTTGAAATAGTAGAAGAAAAACCAATTTCTGGATATACAAGTACAATTTTATCACTTTAACTTTATTGAGTGTAAAAAGGGAAGGATAATATATATGAATAATTTACCTGTAATATATTTATTTTGCTCATATATTATCATGCTTCATTTTAGACGCAACAGAGAGAATTCATACCACCCGACCAAGCTAGTCACCAACATCGAATTTTTCACTCTGCGCTGGAATCGGGATGGAACTCGAGAAGATGATATGTTCCTGGGCATACCTAATCCGGGAATAACTAGTACGACGACTACTCTGTAAATTAAGGCACTTAGAGAACCCGACGCAAACGTTCCCTTTAGCTGGTGCGACATTTATTCAACTGGTATTTTCAAATATTTCTCACAGTCTGTAAACAACGGATTGTGTTCAAGTTTGGAAATGGTTGCAAATATTGACGTTAAGATGAAAATATTAATACCAAACTAAGGTTCATTGCAGTTTAGAGCGTTTAATGCTTGGCGATTCCACTTTTAAATTTAATTCACGCATTAACAAACAAATTTTTTTTATGATACCACAATGTAACAATTTTTCCCCCTTGTAGACAAAGGTTCTCAAACTTGTGTAGGACAGAACTATACCTCGTTTCTCAACCCCCAAAGGAAATGGAAAAACTCTTGCTACCTACAGATTCTTGAGCTTCAAAACATTTTAAAGATGTTGGTTCCGTTTCTTATCGGCTTAGACATGGCATAAAATGCTCTGTTTATGCTGTCACCGCTATTGTCAGCTCTTGTTGCGAGTTTGAGAGCAATAAACCTTTGTTGTAAAAGTTTGAAAAGGTACCTAAGTACTTATAGAAAAGGACGATGTAAATGACGTAAAATGTAAGTACTTAGTAGCGCATGATATTTATTATTAAGCACGTGTACTGAAGTATTCGTTCAGTACTAAATAATAATTATAGCAATTCGTCATGTAAATGATTTAAGAAATAAATATTTCACGTATTGCTGCTTTATAGATGTATTGTCTATAAATAATTCAAACTCATTAATAATTCATAAAGAAAAAACAAAAGAAATTAATGCTTAACGAGTGTCTTATATCTGATAAACCCGTGATAAAGACACGGCAAAACCTTACGTCCACTTTTTTAGACCAAAATAACCCCAAATCTAAATATTAGTCGAGAATGGATGGTCTATATCAGAGATTTTGAAGCCGTTCAAAAAACACACATTAGAGCGGTTTTCATTTGAGCGTCGAAAAGTAATTGGTTTTGCACTTTCTACACGATACGATTGGCTTAAAAGATTCGCGCCACCTTTTCATCCAATCAGAAGTAAAACCAAAGCCAATTGTGACGCGCTCGCATGCATTTTCCCGCGCTTTGCGTCAGCCACATGTAATTACTTCGAGGTTTGATTGGTTCAATGTATTGTCTGTGTCCTATGTGATTGGCCAGAGTAATTACTTTGGTTTTGGTTTTACGACACTCAAACGAAAACCACTCTATGTATTATCATGTTTAACAACTCGAGGCGAGTGCACACACTCTTGCTCTTTTTTTAAACAGTACTTAACACAGTTAGATGAGATGCTCAATGCAATATGGGGTGGTAGCTTTGACGCGCAGTTGACGGTTATTTAGTGGGAGAGTTGAGGTAAATATAAATTTCTGTATAAGTTGATATTAACAGTTGTTTTGTGAAGGTCGTCTTGGCCTTTCACTTATAAAATTTGGAAATATTTTCAGAAGCAAGTACTAGTTGTAAGCTCTCGTAAAGAGTGTTTTTGAGAACACGGGGACTGGTTTTTCCAGTTTGGAGATTCTTCACGAGCCAGTCCTTGTAGATGAGTTGAAGAGGCGAGATTTAAATACCTTGAAAACTTTTTTACGTTTTTTTTTATAAATATAAGGTTAAAAAACTACCTCTTTGACGGCAGACCGGTAACCTCATTAAGACACTCTTAGATTAGAGAACTAAGGTACCTAGCTAGTATGAATAGTATGCGCATGCGCGTATTAATGGATAGTACGTGGAGAGGAAGGATGACGAACTGGTAAATTCAAAACTTGAAAGGAGGAAAAAACAGGCAAAATTCCGTTCTGCAAAACCCAAGATGATGAAAAACTCTCTACTCCGCCTAGTTAAAATTGCAAACCCATAAACCCATAAACCTATAACCAGTCTTACACTGACCAAAAGTACACAGCGAGATAGCTTGGACATCGATTTCTGAAATGAAAATTAGATAGACATGGGTGGCCAGAAAATTTCGATACCTTCCAAAGGGGTGGGGGTTGGAGTTGGGGATGCAAACCCCTCAACCCTTTTCCTGGATCCATGCAGCCCTGTGAGACAGAAACTAGTTCATACAAACCACTGTTGTTTATGTTACCGCTTATTGGGCTCGCACAGTCTTGAAAAGTCCTTGAATTTTAGGGGAAGTCCGTGAAAAGTCCTTGAATTCCATTTTTCCTTGAAAAGCCCTTAAATTTCTATCCAAGTCCTTGAAAAGTCCTTGAATTTTCTTCAACTTTGAATGTAATGGCCTGGAAAGAATTATTTGATGCTTTTTGGTCGTCCAAGACAGAATATAAATCATAGCTAAGATAATTTAAAGGTTGTTTACATAAAGTGCTCTATGTTTTATGCAATAGGTAATTATCAATTAAAGACAAGTGAACTGAAAACTGTATAGACAAGTTGGTGAAGCAAACAGTTCAAGACTTAAAGTGTTATTAAAATAGACTGGGAATGTGCATATTTGTACAGTCTTTGAAACAGAGACAAGAAATCGTTTCGTCACGTTGCCATGGTAGCAAAATTTTTGGATGACAACTAACCGAAAAAGTCACTTAAGAGTCTATTCGCACTATTTCAAACTTCATCGATCTCATTCAATTTCATTTAATTTGGCAAATCTTGGTGAAATTTTCTGTGGGACCATATCTAACGTTATCTAAGTTTAGAAAATAAAAGGGACAATTTTTGTGTTGTGTTCACCTACTCCATAAAGAGAGTTCGTGAAATTAGGAAGTTTCATGTCGTAGTGGTGCAACGAAGGCATAAAAATGTACAAAATAGCGTGATGCAAATGTAAAGTTGTTGTTTGTTAATATAAACATATCATTTTTTGCCGATCTCCTTGCCGTCGCCGTCGTCGTTGGTTTTGTTGTCATCCAGAAATAGTGCTACCATGGTAACGTGACATCACACTTCTCCTCTCTATTATATTCCTAGTAAGTGGTCCTTGAAAATCCAATGTGGTCCTTGAAAAGTCCTTGAAAAATGGGTGCAATTTTTGTATGAACCCTGGCTTAGTGACTAAGAGATACATGTACTTAGTAATTGTGACTTACGAAAAAGTATAATTAGGAACCTATTAGTGTTAATTTGTATGTATTGTAATTTTCTTTGAGGGATCTTACATGAATTTCATTTGAATGTCCTCAAGATTATATACGTGTGGTAATTGCTGTTATCTGTTATTATTTATCAGTGACCATTAGTGTTCAAGAAGTTTTTAAGTATCTTTTTTTTTTAGGGTTCTTCGTTTTAGTGTTTTAAAGTCTTCGTTTCTAAACTGTTTAAATTTACCTCCATATCACATTACTCATACTGCGAACAGTCGACGCCAAGAGACGCCATTAGTCACGGACTGTAGGTGATAATTCAAGATTTAATCAACTATTAATATTCATTGTATTAATTATTAATAGCCACGATAACCACCCTGCTGCGATCCTGATATATTCCATCATGATAAAATATAGGTTAGAATGTAAATAAAAGGAAACTATTTGGAACAGATTCCTTTTCAAACAAAACAGTTTGAGCGATACATTAGTTGCGTAACGTAGCAAAGATCATAAAAAAAAAACAATGAAAAAGGTGTTTATACGTTTGTCATTCATCTATGATTAAAATACGCCCCCTCTTAATTTTTAAATACACATTAGCAGTCGAAATATCAAAACTGAGCCGTCTCGACGTAATCGTCATTAGGCAAAATGGTTTACTTTCGCCCTTACTTTCTGTATTTTCTCTTTCGATCTCCTTTAGTAACATACCAAAGCGAGGGTTTAATACCAGTTAATCGTGGCATAAGGCGACAAGGCGTGTCTTACGCCAATTTTGCAGTCCATAAATTTCAGTATCTTCAAGGATCTCTGTTAGGTTCTTCCCGAGAAGTAGATAAATTTAGTGATTGTGCTCTAGCGTGTCTGAATAACCCATCCTGCTTTTCATTCAACCTTGGTTTGTTGTTGACAGCAAAGGGAAAGCTGCCTTGCGAACTGTTAACTGATCACAAGTACAGAAATGCGAGCAGAATATTCCCTTCACAGCAATTTCATCATTACAGCATCAAGGTAAATATATTACTTTAGCTGCGTATACCAAGGACATATAACATTGTTCCAAGTGGAGGGGGGTGTTTGTTTGGGGAGGGTGACGAGTGCTGCATTGAAGTAAGGAGGCTGAAATGACTCTATCTTAGTGAGTCTTTATCTATTTTGAAAAAAGTGGGGTGCTAACCCACCCCCGGTCCCCACCTGCTCCGCCGTCTTTGTAAACACATTTGCTAGATGGAGAGTGACAAGAGTTTTTTTTTTTTGCCTCGGGGACATTTCATGTTTAAACTAGTATCCGAGGGCTGATGACCATCCCTGCAAAGCCTACACATAATAATCACAATTTCAAGGACAAGTACGAATCGAGCCTGGTATGCTGATGTAAGAGTTAAAATTGCGAATGTAATCTAAAAGACGCTTTTTCTTGTTATCATTTTCAAATTCGTATTCCTCTGAATTTTAAGAGTTCATTATATAAATTATGCAGTTTTATAATTGCACATGATTACAAGAGATATGTCAGTTAATTATCATTTAAATGGTACTACTTTCACATGGTCAAATTGGGTTTCAAAAGTTAAGGTTTCTTTTCTATGATAAAGAGGATTTCTTAGATCGATTAAGCAATCCAGATATTTTCCACGAAATTTCTTCGGCATGGTAAATCTTTAATCGTCTGATTGTGTAGGGCGCGGTTGCGCAGGTGTTTACCAATCGTCAAATGTTTGTATGAACTGAAAAAAGCTGTTGGCTTGTGTGCCCATTGTACAGCTCAGATCACATTTGTATTCGTATACAAAGAATTGTTGATAAATTAGGGGTGGTTTGGCCTTTGTAATTTTGTCTTTACTTGTTAACGCTGGTCTCAGATCACCGGTTTTTTTTCTTTCCAAGCTTTAGTTCGGAAAGCTGCATTCGTTTGGAACGTCAGCTGTTCTTTAATCTTTGAACAGAACAATGATACGAATGGTTGCATTTTTTAATCGACACAAACTTCTTTTTGATATTGGGACTAAGGATATTTGGTTAGGGCAGGTGGCGGGAATCGTTTCTTATCTGGCATTTGCACTTGCGTCGCAGACAGTCTTGAGTTCTCTATCTAGGTAACAAGTCTGGTTGCAACGCAAGCTAGTATTTACATGGCTTTCATAATGGAGAAGGGCTGGGACATTCACCGCCTTCTGGGTGATCCGTCCGACATTTTCTCTTTTTTTCGACGGAGAATTAAAGGCCATTCCATGATTGGGCTGGGTCACAGGCAGCCCAATATCGTTCTCGCTGAATTGCAGCCTCTAAAGCAGATTACACATGCCGATACCTTTTTCAACGCAATGATGAACATGAGCATTTGGCGAATGGCAACACCTGCGCATTGAGTGACGTTCACAATCAGACGAAAGTACGAAAAAGGGATGAGCTAAAAGTCTTTAAATTGTAAGAGTGAATCAAATTTACAGCCTACATTTGTAGAAAAAGGGAAGGATGTACTTAATATTATTACTTCAAAATAACTTAGTCGCGGAGTCGCTGCCGCGGTGTCTGCGGTATAGGTACTTCCTTGATCGTTAAGTGTGGCGATCACTTGCAAAATTATTTATGACGCAATGGTTCGACCTGATATGACTGAACAATTCTCCCAACAAAACGACATTCCAAAACACAGAAAGATAAAATAGAATAATTTACAACATATCAATATTAAAAATTCATGAATATAATATATAAAAGCATTAAAACGGAATCATTGAATTCTACTTTAGGCACGATGACAAAATAAAAGTGTTCTTAAAACGGTCCGTCTTCCACTTTGGAAATGGAAAGTGTCGGTGACTTAATTGATGTTATTACCACTGCTAAATAATAACTCAGGCTTGTCTACCTACGTTGATTTTGATTTTACTATCAGAATAGTAAACAGAGGCAGTTTTTGAGATTTTTATAAACGTTTGTGTTAACCTATGAATTGGTATTTTTTTGGTAGACACCATGTTCAAGTAACCCATGCAAAAACCCAGGAATTTGTTTCCCAAATTATGAAGAGCATAATTACCGTTGTATCTGCGCCCCAGGCTATAGAGACCCTTATTGCACGACAGGTTAGTAAAACGGCAGAATATTTTACTTAGATCAGATAATAAGCTTAAATTCTATAAAAGGCGCCCTCAATGATACAGTGCCATTCCATGCCATAACTTAACTGTAACTTTTTTCAGTTTTCCATTACGGATGAGGAGGATTTTCCGACTCTAAACATCCTGTATTTATAAGTGGTAGTTCCCAAAAACTTTGTCTATGATTAGAAGCTAAGACCCAGCTTAGTAAGATCTCCCCTTAATGCCGCTATGGCGTCCATAGAAGCAGATTCCTTACGAGAAGTCTCACTTACGCCTTCACGCAAAATCATACAAATTCTACTACCTACGCTTTTCCAGTGGCCAATAACAGGTTTCAAAACTTAATTAATGAAAATCTAAGGCGCAGAGAGATTTTCCTTGGTTTTAGATTGTTTTATCTTTCTACTTGATGATGAAGTCATGGTGGCATCGAAACTTTAAACTCTTTTCGCTGGGTTTTATTCTTCAGTGTTTAATAAAATTTAGTTTGATTCTCAGATACTGCTATTGAAATCTGAGGTTAAATGGATGGCTCTCTAAAATTTCTATGTGGTGATAAGCCCTTTTGATACCGAAATGACGACTGTCAACAGTACTTATAGAACCGCGAAAACAATGATTTGCTGCTACTGCAGCAAATAACAGTGTTTGACATGTTTGAAACTTGCTTTTGTTCCTGTTTAGCTTGCTTAGCTCCCCTGGGAATGGAAAACGGTAGAATAACATCAGCGCAGCTGAACGCGTCATCTCAGTATAGTTGGTACAACTCTATAAACCGCGCGAGGTTGAACATCCAGGCGAACGTTAACGGCAGTGGGGCGTGGTCAGTGGCACAGAATAACCAAAATCAGTGGATACAGGTTGACCTGCGAATCAAGACACGCATCACGTACGTAGCAACTCAAGGAAGGGCGGACGATATCCAGGATCCTGACGATGTGTCATGGGTAAAGAAATATCGATTGCGATTCGGTGACGATGGAAGTTCATTCGAGGGTTTCAAGCAAGAGGGTGAAAGCGTCGACAAGGTAGGATTAAGATGCGACAAGAGAGGAAAAAGGATAAGAGGGAAAGGTCCTTTAACCAGAAACAACTAACTCTTTTTCTCTTTTTTATTCAGGTGTTTCCCGGCAACACTGACCAAGAGACAGTCGTGACAAATGTTCTTATTCCACCTATAAAAGCACGATACCTCAGGTTAAAACCAACTGAATGGCAGCATACCATATCCTTGAGGATGGAGTTGTATGGTTGTTTAGGTACAGTACTCTTTCATGTCTTGGGGAAAGGCGCGTGTATGACGTAGAACGCAGATGAGGAAGATAAGGAAGGAGCCTAAGGAGGCAGTATCATAATTATCCCATGTTTTCGTATGAACTATATTCTAATTATGAGGATTCAAGGGAAAAAAAACTTTAACCCATTGACGGTCGTGCTGGCCAAAACCGGCCGTAAAAGACTACCTACTTTAAAACCTTGCAACTTTCTCAATTGCGTCAACATTGCTTTAACTGTCAGTTGTGAGCATTGAGTAAAAAGTCCTTCAAATTGGGATTTCCAATTATCTCCCCAAAAAGTCAGTGCTTTTTGCAAAATATTACCTTTTGAATTTGGACAAGAAAAAAATGACCTTTTTCAACGTCATAGAAAAACGACGAAGATCACGTTTTATTGCCTTCAGGATTTTTACAGAAATCATCGTTGCAAAACCAAAAGTCAACATCACACTAAAATTCAGTTCCTTGTTCTTACTTAGAAGTGACTTTTTTGTACTTATTAGTTTCCCGGGCCGAGCTACAGCTTTTTGTTCTAGTGCATCCTGGTCTTGTCTCGATTTTCAACATCATTGCTAAATTGCATGCTGGGAAATAGATTTTTTGACAGCGTTCGTTCCTGCTCCCACTCTTTTCACATTTATCCCAAGTCCACAGCCACTCCGACCTAACAAGGAAATTTCGCGCTTGTTGTAATTCTCAGTGGTCCCAAATTCAAAAATATGCCCTGGTAGGTCAAGAAATTCGTCAGTAGTCGAGTCCCAAAGGTACTTCGTTTCGGCGCGGCCATTTTTCCAGTTCCTCGAGCAACAAGCCAAATTCACAAAAGCAGAATATTACCTTACTCGCTTCTTTAAGAAAGTGGACTGTTAGCTGTTGTTACGCTTACTGATGCTCATGAGGCAGCCAATAAAGATGAAAAATGCTGTAAACTTACCAAAAATCGCATACCAACCAAACTGCAATCGTTATTATAGCTCAACTTTGTCAGAATAACGTTTGCAGAACACACGAGCCTTCAGTGCGTCAGAAATGGTAACCTCAAATACGGAGTCACGAAATCCTATGGATTGTTTGTATGTAGAAAATCACTCGAAAACGTAAAAAGTGCTAGGCGTCACGTCAATGAGTTAATAAATTCTCCAAGGAGCCACAATCAAAGATTCTTGAGCAAAAAATTTCCCAGATAACACTGAAAACCTTGAAAGTCCGACTTGAAATCGTCGACCTGGGGTATTCAAGTTTTTTCCACCTTTTTGTCCAGTTGCTGTTATGGCTTGGCACTTTTAGCAGGCTCTACATCTGGGTGATACTACCCTTTTTAGGACAACTTCTCATTTTGGTACCTACTGTCCACGCGTTCCGCGACTCGGAGACTCGGGATTTTAAAAGAATTGTTACACCAGGTAATGTCTCATGCAACTTTTGCGAGAGTTTTTCAATATAAAATCCCTGGAATGAATGAATAGCTGCAAAAAGCAGAGCTTCAATCTTTCTGCAAAGGTTACTGCAACAAAAGTTTTGCGAGACATGATCGGAAGGTGTTACCACTGGCAATATTTCGCGGAAAGAGCGTCGGTAGAAACCTACACTAGCGTTATTTTTAGGGGGCCTCCATAAATTGGAAACCTGTCGGTGCGACATCAGCGTAGGCCTACCCGTACGTCCGTACGTAGACTATCAGGGAGTGACTAAGTAAGAAGAGTTTTGCGTTTGTCTTGGCCAATTTTTTAAAACCTGTTCGTTTATAGGCAGCCAATGGAGTTGTTCCACTGCAACTGTTTGGGCCAAATATTTAAACGAAGTCTAACTTTGGTGGGTTGTTTGAAGATAAATGCTTTTCTAGTCTTCTCTATGTGCTTTCATAAAACTGTTCACAATAAATGATGTTTAGATAAAATCGTTGGGCAAATTGTAAATGAGTTAGAACGCGGTTTGGTAAAACACTGGCTAAACTACGTTTAAATATTTGGCCCTTTAAGTTTCTTTTGTTTGACTTACGACAAAAACCTTTGCAAGATATATTTTGAAGGCTTTGCTTTTAGCTTGGTCACGCTTTTCGTAACGCTCCAGGAACCAATCTAGTCTCAGATTGCGTGCATTTGCGTAAAAATTTACAAAGTATGTGCAACATCTTGATGAGTTTGTTTATCGACAACTGAAACTTTGTGTTCTTTTAATGTTGCCATAACATGAAATACAGCTGCTAATCAAGATTCTGGTTTGATGGTTTGTTTAGTTATTTGTAGTTGAGGAAAGCGTTGCATAAAGTCAACGCGAATCAATCACAGACGGCTGCGGTTTTGAAAGTTCACGCAGGCTTTCTCAGTAAAGGCAATGCACAATACCCAAACACGTACCGCACAGTTTATGTAGGTTGTAGTAGAGAAAAATGTTAAATGAGTGATTTGCTAAAATTTTCTATCAGATGATTTGTGAGGTATAAATGTAAAGGCTAATTTACACATAACTGTTCGTTTGGGCGCAAAACGAAAACACATAACAAGCTTACAGTGAACACAAAAGTCGGCCCGATTTTTCTTTTAGGACTTCCCATTAAGAAAGAAATTTTGACCCCAGAAACCGTAACCCGCAAATTGCTGCTACCGCAGGGCTACAGAAACAGCAATTTAATGGCTGACCTAGAACTTCTCAAAGGGGTGTTGTGGGGGATTCGGTGATTTAGTTTGGAAAAATTCTACTACAGTGATCGAAGCTGATGCATAATTATCACTTTTTGCTTTAAACATGCGTTTCTTAAGCTTTTGCTGGGAGATTTTTTTTATTTGTATTTCAGATGTGTTTGCGGGATAATACTTCGTAAAAGAGAGATTGGGGGTCACGTTTATTGTGAACTGCAAACGTCAGATTCAAGTTGAAAATTTCTCAGAATAGATATAAGTATATTAAAAGAGGCTTCGCGTCTAGCCCTGGCGGAATCTATATATTATTGTATATGTACACATCCAACTCCGTCAGTGGGGCGTTGAACTGGTCTATTTTGTTATTCGTGTATTAAAATTGTGTCAGTTTAACTAAAGTTTACGGGGTTTTGGGATTGTCCTCCCAAATTGAAATATTCTGTCGATCATGATGCGTGCGTGTTTTTCATATACAGAAGAGATCCAAGCCCTTGGAATGGAGAGCGGCGCTTTAGCTGACTCACAGATAACAGCGTATTCAGAATATGATGCTTACCATTCAACGAACCGATCGAGATTACATACAAAGGAAATATCACCGCTGGAGAGAGGTGCATGGTTGAGTTTGACGAACGATGCAAACCAGTGGCTTCAGATAGATGTTGGTAAAGTCCTAAATGTGACACACATAGCTACGCAGGGAAGAAATACCTACTCCCCTTTTCAATATGTAACAAAGTACAAGGTGCAGTATAGCAACGATGGACAGACGTTCCAGTTTTACAAGAGAGAGGGACAGCCTTCAGTTGAGGTAAGAAAATTCTGTTTTACTTCATGAAGTTGAAGTGGTAATTAGAACAGTTTTTAAAGCCTGTGAGGAGAAGATACTTGCTTATCCTTTTAAGTACCAATAGTTGCAACATCAATTTTCTCTTAACAGTTTCGATACACGATCAAGAGAAAGGAGAGATCAAAAAATGATCATAAAAGGAAAATGCTTTGATCTCATATAAATCTTGAAAATAATTTTATAATGAAATAAAAGTAGATCAGACTGAAGAATTTGTACGTGGAAATTAGGGTATTAGCGGCGCCACAAGGATGTCGTTTTTACTCCTTTTGTTTTTA